AGGAGCTGGGTCTCGGGCTCATGACGGATCGAAGGGTCTACGAGCTGACGAAGGCGAACATCAGAGGCGGGCTCGGGCACATCGCTCAGCCCTTCGCGGTCGCCAACAACCCCGAGGTGCCCGACTACGACCCGTCCGAGCAGCACTCGTGGATCCTCGTCTACGACGTGAACTCTATGTATCCTTCGATCATGGAGAAGCCTCTGCCGGTGGATGGTGGACTTTGGCTCGAGCTTCCGCCGAACAAGAAGGACAGGCTCCGCCGCTTGAACGCCTTCTTCGACGTGGTGGACTACGACCGCGATGACGAGGACGTATGCTACATGGTAGAGGTGACCTACGACGTCCCCTGGTTTAACCACCCCAACGTGGATTGGGCTCCTGTCAGCAAGATGCCTGTGAGGAGATCGCAGCTCAGCCCCTACACCCAATCCCTGATCCAGCCCGGGCAGGTGGTGTCGGAGACTCCGAAGCTGGTTCCTTACCTGGGCGTGCACGTCAAGCAGGCCGTGGACCTCCGCTACCTGAAGTTCATCATGGAGCACCTTGGAGTTCGCGTCTTCGATTGCCACAGCATCGTAGTCTTTCAGTGCCGGCCCTTCATGCGCGACTTCGTGAGGCAGACTGTGCAGACGCGCCGTCTTCTGAAAGAAACGGGGCGCAAACTCCAGGCCGAGGTTCAGAAGCTAACCGCCAACGTCCAGTACGGCAAGATGGTTCAGAACCAGGAGAACTTCAGGACGACGCGTATCTACACGGATGGCTTGAAGTTCCAGAAGGCGGCTTCTGGACCCCACATGCTGGACGTGCATCCGCAGATCATGGAGGAGCACGCGTTCATGGCCTTCATGGATGTGCAGAAGGCCGGGAGGGCCAACGTTCTGAAGTCGTTTCTCCAGGGTGGCTGGAAGGTGCTCGAGGAGTCGCGTCTGCTGATGATGAAGGCGCACTACAGGATTCGCCGCGTCTTTGATGACGGCGAACTCAAGAACGTGGATCCGGTGGAGGGCTCGCAGAAGCCCCAGGAGAGCTGCACTCGCTGGTTAGGCGGGGACACCGACAGCAGCGTCCTCCAGATCTTCAGCTATCGGGACCCGAAGATCGCTCTGGCCGAGAGCAACCTGCAGGGCGACGGCATCTTCTTCGACGTCGCCGGCGATGCGAAGGGCGAGGCTCTGGAGAGACACTTGGCCCCTCTGAGCGAGAGCAGTCGCGAGCTTGCGCTTTCCCGCAGTGGCGCTCTGGGCAACTTCTCGGATGAGCTGGCTCCTCGCTATGGAGTGGAGTGGGTGGGCCTGGCGCCGAAGATGTACTCCCTGACGAAGACTGGTGGCGGGAGCAAAGAGCGGGCAAAGGGCGTGCCGAAGAAGGAACGAGCGAAGCTGGACCACGATGCGTACAAGGCCATCCTGGAGAGTGGCGTGGAGCATCGCGTGGACTTCTGTCGCTTGGGATGCAGCCACCACATCAACCAGATCCTACAGATCAACAAGCGCGGCCTCACGGCGCTCAACACGAAGGTGTGGCAGCTGGACTCCCAGCACTCCAGGCCGCTGGGGCACTTCTTGAACAACGATGTCTCGGCTTTGTGCTGGGCTGCTTTGCGGCGAAACTTCCGCCTGATGAACCACATCTTCAGCTTCGTGGATGGTGAGGTCGGCTTCTTGCATCGCGTGATTTCGAGCGATGGTCGGTTCAAGGGCGAGCTTTTCAACACCTGTTACCTCCGGTCGTAGGCCTGAAGAGTTTTTTTCTGCTGTACAGGGGTTTCCGACCAGCTGTCGGAGAACTCGCCGCACAGTACAGGGTTCGATCAGGCATCGCTTTTGCGACTTTACCTTGTTAGACAGATGACGGGGTTTATCAAGCTAACGTCGATGCTCGTTTAAGCTTTGTCTGCACGCGAACAGTGCGCTGGGAACTTCCACATCCGCATGCTTGGGCGGGATGTGCTACAGAAGCAGCACTCCAGAAGGGGATGCGCTACAGAAACTGCACTCCAGAAGGGGATCGTTGGGAGGAAAGCGTGGAAATCGACTTATTGCTTTTGATTGATGGCGAGCGGCTAAGCCCAGGACCGCGCTTGCTCGTTCGCGTGAGCTTATGTGTGCTGCAAACGTTTTTTCGGTTAGGAGTTTGATTGCCGTAGTCGCGCTTTGGCAGGTGTCTTTCACAACTTCTTCCACGTCGCTTCGAGGCACGCTGCTGTGAGTCGGTTGCTATCAAGGTGGAGCAATAGGACCGGGAGCTGGTAGTCTGCGGTTTTGTGCTGCCTGTCTTCCTCTTTGCTCTCTGGACTGCATAGGAAACCTACGCCTTTGTTCCTCCCCCTCCACCTTCCTGAGGTCTCGACGAACGAGCTTGTCACCGGTCCAGCCCTCGAGGAAGAAATAGGGTCCGCCGTCGCTTTCTTCAATTCTAGAGACCTGGTAGACCCTCTCGCTCCAGGCAATTTCCGTAACCCTGTAGGAGCCTCTGTTCTCGATTGGTTTGACTCTCACCCGAACGAAGTCTCCCACGGAGATTTGAGATCTCGCATCTGCGCCCCTTTTCACATTGCGCTTCATGCGTGTCAAGGCGCGGGCTGCTACAGAAGGATCGTCATAGACTCGGTCCGGAGCGAAGCCTGTGGTTGTGTGGGTTTTTTCATTGTACTGTGCTAAGATATCCGGAAGTAAGAGGTGCCATTGATTCCTTCTGCCCACTCCTTCCGAAAGCCTGCGGAGTAGAGCTTCTTTTATGGTTCTGATAGCTCTCTCGACTACGGTTGCATGTCCTCTAGAGACAACTTTGTCTATGTCAAAGTAGTCCAGCTTCTGCTTGAATTCGCGCTTGAACTCGCTGCCATCATCGCTGTACACCATCAGCGGGATGCCGAGGTCCTTGACTACTTTGTCCCAGGCTCTCGCGGCCGAGGCGGCATCTTTGTTAGCTAGCGGCACGGCTGTGAGCTTCTTGCTGAAGGTGTCGATCGCTACTAACATGTACTTGTAAGGACCTTGTGCGAAGCTTTGGCTCGAGGGCACCACCTC